TGCGGCTGATGCGGCTAAAGAGCTTGACAACGCTTGAAAGCTACTTACAGAGCACTGCTGCCTTGAACGTTGTGTTGAGACTACCAGAAACTACCCGGTCTACCATACATGCATTCGCACAGTTTCTACCTTTTTTATTGCGCCACTCCTAATAGCAGCGCCACGGCACCGGTAACAGACGCACAACATGTTGCCTTAGCTGTTGTCATGTCTGAGGTTGTGATGGTTTGGAGAGGCATCGTCCTTTCTGCTTCACCTTTGTTTTTGCTGTCCTTTCGAGCTGTAGCATGTCGCTACACCGGCCTTCACTTGGACGAAGCCGTGGTTTTCGGCGCCGACGCAACACTCTCAGAGATGGCTGGAGAAAACAAGAGCGAGGGCTGTGCAAGAATGACTTTTCTAAACAAAAAGATTTATTATTCAAATTTCAACAAAATCCAATCAATCATATATACCAATGGACAATATAATCGCCGAATCTAGTGATGCAATGGTAAACTCCCTCAACTTCGGTTTGCCCGCAACAAGTCAATACGTGACCTCAAGAAACTTTGCAAAATTTTTCCCATCAGGTAGCAATGTTTATAATCCTAACGCGGGGAATAAAAACATTCGCTTTAACATCAGTGCTGATGACAACAACTATATTGCCTTATCTAGTATCAGATTATTTGCAACACTTCAAAACACAGATGGCACTAGAAACCACTTCTTACGACCATCAGGTGGCTTACATGCTTTCATGTCAAGGTATAGATGTTCAGTAGGAGGACAACAAGTTCAAGACGTCATCGAATACAACCGCCACTGTGAATTGTACGACTGCTTTAAACCTAAAATGTTAGAGACATGGATGCATTGAAAGTTCTGCTAATCCTAGATGGGATGCTGGTTATCATGACTATGCTCATGGTTTAAATGTGTTGATTGATATTAATGGTGCTGGTGATCGTGTTGATGTTTTCACTACTGGTGATCGGAACGAGTGGGGAAGATTTGATAAGAGATACACAAGACATTTATCAACTGGAATTCCCGGCGCCAATGGAAAAGCACGCTTTAGTCATAAACCATGCTGTGGATTGCTTCAATCTAATTATTACTTGCCTTTGGGGTATGCTCCTTTAGAATTCGAAATTACTATAGTCAATGACCAAAGTCTACCAGTAACTGTCCCATTTGGAGCAGGAACACAAATTGACAAGGAAGGTTATTATTTTACTGCTGGTAATACATCTACATCATGGGAATGAATTAAGTAATGTCATCATTTGCCCAGAAATTATTACAATTGACAACACAGTCAACAATATAGTTCAACATTCATTACAGGGTCAGTCATTAAAATCAGTTTTCCCAATGTATCATACTATCACTCAAACATTCAATGCTGGAGGCGGTTAACTTTAAATATGAATATTGTAAAAACATCTACTAACCTAAATTGTGTGTGCCTTCATTACCTTAGTGGTGAAGACCTAAACCGATACTTGCCTGACAATTATGTATATAAGAGATGGAATATTTTTACAAATGATTTACAAGTAAGGGCTTTCAAAATCGAACACGCAATTTAAGCTGGCAAATTCAATTAAGCAACTCACAAAAGTATCCAGATTTAGAAGCGCAATCATTATCAGAAACCGTTTATATTTAAGACGGGCAATTTCTCTTTTAAACCCTGATCAAGATAGTTTAAGTTTTTCATACCGTCAATACAGAGAAAACATATTTATTATAGGAATGTCATTCCAAGAAATGGATCAGGTTAGTTTCACTGTTTGCAACAGTAAAATGTCTGGCGTTACCAATTTCAGGATCAAAGCAGCAGAACAAATCACAGAGGTTTTCTGCCATTTGATTTCAGAATGTGTCCTTGAATTGCGCGAGTCCGGCCCCTTTTTTGGCCTTTTGATCGCACTCTCCTCGGCGACCACATAGGTCAATGACCTCAGGAACAACACCGTGTCATCCGCCACCATGGACCTCAGCTGATCGGACAGGTTGTCCCGTCCGAACCTTGTGGCACCAAAGCGTGTTCGCAATGGCGGTGGTCCAGGCTGGGTGTGCCTGAGTCTTGACACCGTCCTGCATGGCGGTCCCGCCAAAATCATCTTCACTTTTCCGGAGAGGCGCAAGTGCAGGATGTAGGCTTGTCCACACATAGGTCTTCGATCTCGCGTCTCCAGTTCCTTCCAGGTCCTCTCATCCGGACCATTGAATAAGTGGAGAATGATCTCATCGGCTTTCTTCAGCCGCCTTCGAACATGCCGGTTCCACGGAAACAACTCCGGATCAAGATGATCATCCGGCAGCACTCGCTCCAAAAGCTTAGCCGGCACCTCCGCGAAAAGCTTGCGAAGCTTCTGCAACCACTCCACCGTGGTCTTTGACATAGATGCCATTTCAGGGCCTTCACCGCCCCTCAGCGCAGCCAACCTGGCCTCTTGAAGCATGACCTGCTTCTCAATCTCCTTAATGAGCTGCAACCCCAGCTCCTCCGACACTGTAGGACAACTGTTCTCCAGGTCGGTGTCCAAGATGCGACCCTTTGAGTCTTGCAACTCAAAACTCCTCGACTCCCGCTTGATGGCATATAGCCCAACTCCGCCAAGACACCAAGCGGCATGATCGGCTGCGCAGGCTGCTGGCAAGGGTCTTCGTCCAAGGGATCTGCCTGAGCGTGGCAGTCCCTGAAGCAAGAGCCACTTCGACCTCAATGCCTGATTTCCATTCAGCCTCATCGGCTGCTTGTCTCAAGCCGTGAGTTGCCTCACCGTCAAGAAGAGCTCGACGATCTCGTACTCCAAGGGCTGAGATCTTGACATCCTCACCCTTCTCATCTTTTGCACCAAGGCTGCGATCTTTGCATCACCGCCCTTCTCTTCCTTCACCTCAAGGGCTGGGATCTTTGCATCCTCACCCTTCTCTTCCAGCTGCAAAGCCTTCATCGCCGGCAGCTGCAAAGTCTTGAGCAGGCCCATGGCCTCAGACAAGATCCCACCGACCTCGCCCTTTCCCTCCGGCTTTCAGGTTCTCTTCCACAACTGGCCCATCCGCTGACTTGGATTTGGTGGCCGACCGCACCTCAGGCTTACCGTCCAACTTCAGCGGACCCCTATCCTTTTCGACCTTGCAGTCCTTCTTCAGAAGATCCACAGTTCCAGCGCCTGCCCTTCTTCCCCTCCAAGTCATGGACGTGGTGGCATCAAGCTCCACGCCAGCGGCCGTCCTCCGACTGGAAGTAGCGGCAAATCCCCTTGGAGGATCCCTGCCCATTTCCTTCACCACTGTTGTCCTTGTCACGAGCCGACTCCTTTTTCCCAGCTCCATCACCGCGGCCGCTGACCACACCGCCAGAGTTCAATCCAGGAGCTAAGGGCCTTGATCTTCGGAGCCCCATTTTTCTCCACAAAAGTGGGGAATGCCGCCGCAAGGAGCGCCTCCGCGAAGCCGATCACCCCCTCCAGCGTTGGATTGACGTCCGCCATCAAGTTAGAATTGCGCTGAGCCGAAAGGCCGATTGTGTGGCCACTTTTCCAAGAGGTTGGGACAGCTTGTCCAATGCTGCCATCAGCAAAGTTGCATCAGGGACGTTCACCCTGAGCTCCTGAGCTCTCCGAAGCCATCGGCGCCACATCTGCAGTTGCGTGACCATCTCACCAACCGGTGCAGGCGCCCGAACTTCAACAAGTTGTTTCAACAGGTGTGCTTTCTCACCCAGCCCACCTGGCTGGTAGCGCGCCAACACCTTGAAGATCACCTGCACTGAGCTCGTAGCCCTCGTAGTGAGGATTTCCATCTTCAGGCTTTCAGGCAAAGCCTCCATCAACGCCCTTTGTTCCAGCCTAAGTCAAGGCTGCTGCTGACATGCCGGTGGCAACTGCGGCGTCAAGTTCAGCTTTGTCATTGGATCCGACCTCAACCAACGGTCATAGCATCCGACCGCCTCGGTCAAAACCATCTCCGACGTTGCCGACAAGTCCTTCATCAGAGGAGTGATCAAGGCCATCACCTTTCTGGCGTACCAGGGACTTTTCCCCTGAACAGGCTAGGAAGCCCCCATGCCATTTCGACCACCGCCGCTTTGTGAAAGGCTCTCCGGATCCATAGCCGACCTGTTTGTTTGCAGGCATCCACCATCCTGCGGCGTGTTCTGAGAATCCGGCATCTCACCGGGCACTTGACGGACGGGAGTCCTCACTTCTGCAAGTTCCTGACCACCATCGACCATCGTGGCCAGGTCCATCAACTTCTCCATTCAGCTGCTCTCCATAGGCAGCCGCCCGATCCTGCAGCGCTTTCACCTTCCTCTGTGGCCTCTCAGCGCCAGACCCTCCATCACCAGGAGGAAAGAACACCTGTGGCTGTTCCTTCCGCGATGGCTGTACCGGCCCCTCCAGGCTATTCAAGGCTGAGGCCAGTTGAAATCGGCGTTGGCCCAAAGCCAAGCCCGCCCCACAGGCTCGCGCCATGGTCAGCCCGACGCCCACTGTGTCTTCCTTCTTCTTTTCAGTAGTCACCTGACCTTGGCGTAAGGCGAACACCTCCTTTTGCAGCTCCGAATTTTGCTGCAGCACCAGGGCCACCACACTCTCCATCCGCAAGCTCTTCCGGGGCCGCTGCTCGCCATCTTCTTCAACTTCAGGCCCCATTTTCAATGCCGCCATTGGCATACCGCGGCCTTCTCTTCCTCTTCCCCTTTCCATGTTCGGCGGGAGTGACAAAGGTCTGAGGCTCCTTAAGACCGCCTCACCTTTCATGATTGATGGCCAGACTTCCTTTCTTTCCAGAGCTCGCAGACTCCATGGATGGAGTGCTCATAACCCACGTGTCACACGTGACTATAGCACCGCCGCGCTTTTTTCTTGGCTTCAAGTCTCAAACCTCCCCAAACATGTCAAGACATCATGTCATGCGTGACCAAATGTCTAGCGCTTTGTATGTAAGATCTGCTTTAGTTCTACCAAACTTTGTAGACGAGACTTAGGGTCTTGCGACAAACGTTTCATAGCCTGCACGCAGCACTACCCTTGTAATTGACTGTGCAATGGACGATTCAAAATCACCCTTGCAGCGCCCGCTAGAAGACAAGAGCCCGCGACTCATCTATGTGGACGCGGAGGTGACTACAATAACTGTTGTTTTCACTGCAAGCTGTTGGTTAACACCCACTCGCATATTCTTTTGTTCTCTGCGGCTCTCTAACACATACCAGTGCTCCATTCACTGCTGTCATCGCTGCCTACGGCGGAGCCTGTGAAAGATATGCGCAGGACGCCTTCGTACGGAAACCTTCTTGGAGGAAAGTCAAGCTTCGCCATGAAGATTCAGCCAAACCTTGAGTTTGTGTTTTGAGTTTGTTTGAGGTTACAATGAGGAGTTGAGAGCTTCCTATCAGCCACCTCCTGCCCCTGGTGCTCGCAAGAAGAGGCTTCTTCATGTGGGCCCATGGAAAACAGGTTCTTCGGCTATGCAGCAGGCGCCTGAGTTTTCCAACGCAGGGAAGGTGAAGGTGGAAAGGTTTTGCGAAAAGAGCGTCAGACTGTGCAGAAGATTCTTTTGCTATTTTGTGTCATCGTTTCATTTGAGTAAGCACATGTGTCTGGGCATGCGTCGACTCGTATAGAATTTGCGGTAAATTCAAGAACAAGATGTAGTTGCCATACGTTTTTCAGTATGAACGACAGAAAGCTGCCATGCCACCCTTTTGAACTTCTGAACGTTCTCCGCGCAAGATATGTAAGACTCAGACCAGAGCAAAATAGCACACTACAGTATACGACCATGCAGTATACTCTAGTGGAGACGAAAACAAACAGATCGCGTTGAGATTGCAACGGGTAGCGGAGCCGGTGCTAGAGCATCCTTCCCACCCCAAACTCTTACAGCGGCTCACAGACAGATCCAGGAGTGTGCGTGTTTGGGAGCTTTGCTGACCATTGCTGGAGCTTGGAAGGTCGAGAAAAAGATGGCTGAACCCAAGGTCTGGATCATCGTCTCCCGACTGAAAGCGTTTATTTTCCAAAACCAACTTGTACTTTAACTTGTCTCGTGCTGCCTCAGACAGCAATAGCTGTAGGGGCCCATATTGCTCCTATTGTGTCTTTGCCGCTGATGTGCGCACTGCTGCCTTGTCTTGCCACTTGTCTGCCTGTGTGGTCGCCGTAGGCTCCCCTCAGCCGGCCATTCTTCGTGCCTGTGCCCGGCCGTTGGCCGAACTTTGCGGTGTGGTGAATAGTCAATTTCACGCCGTAACTTGATCGCAGGAAAATTTTGATATCTCAAGAGGTCACTGGTGGCAAGCCCAGCCCTAGGAAGAAATGAGAAGAGCACCGTTTTGATCCACGTGGATGACTTGATTTTCACAGGTTGTCCGAAGTACATCAATGAAATCTTCCTTCCAAAGATTCAAGACAGGTTTGGCACCAGTTTGAGCAAGATCGAGAAGGTCGGTGATAAATTCAACTTTCTGAGCAGAAAGTGCAAACTAGACGAAGATGGACTATGGATCCAACCAGGTAACTACATCCAGCAGATGCTGAAGGCATGTGAAGAGCAGATTGGAAAGATCAAACTCCAACAGCTACCTTCAGACAGTTCGGTTCAGATGGAAGACAAGTCAGAGATCCTTAGTGATGAAGAGAGAAGCGGCTTATTCAGAAGTATTGTGGGTTCAGGTATCTACCTTTGTCAGGAAAGGTATGATGTGGCATTTACTGTCGAGGAATTGGCTTCAAGAATGTCAATGGCAACAACTACGTCCTTTCATCACTGGAAGAATTATCTAGGATAAATGAAGAAGACTATGGACTATTGCAATTGTCTTGTAATTGAAATCCCACAGGCAGGAGAAGGCTATGTAAAGATAAGTGAACTTTTTGCTGCCTAGAGACATTTTCAGACTCAGACTGGAGCGGAAACAAAAGCCTTAGAAGATCAACATCAGGAGGATTCCATGCGTTGAACAGTTGCCCATTGTTCAACAGCAGTCGAACACAGAAGATCCTTAGCTTATCTCCTTGCGAGGCATAGTTGCGTGCAATCGTTTCCTCAGCTTCGGATGGTATATATACATGGTATAGTACACACACATATATATATATATTCGTTCAGTTCTTGAGTTTGCTCTGGGTGGACCATTGCATCTTCACAGATTCTTCGAGTGCGCGCCAACTTGTGGTAAAGGGAGGAGTTGGGAAAGTGAGACATTTAGACGGCGAATTGCTGTGGGTTCAGAATCGAAATGACTTCACTATGCGTATGGCGCAAGTAGCAACAGACAGCAACATGGTAGACATCAATACCAACCACTAGGAGGCCAGAGAATCCGATTTCTGATGAACCTTATTGGGTACTGGCACAATGAAGAGCAGGCGAGTTGGTGAGCTTGAGAGACAAGCGTATGAAGAGAGAAAGAACTTTGCAGGGAAGGTCAACAAAATTGCAAAGATGTTTGTCAGAATTGTGACCTTGGAGGGCTTGCAGCCAATGGTTACAGAAGCGACTACCTTCATGAAAGGAGTTGACCAGCAGTGCACATTGGAAGTGGAAGATTCCAATAGGAGCTGGTCACGATCATCGTGATCGCTATCTTTGGTTTTGCAGCAATGACCTTAGCAATGGACCTTTTGGAAGTACATGAAAGAGGATGGAAGAGACTTGCAAAGAGGTTACACAAGGAGACTTCATTGTGAATTGATTCTCCATGGAGGTTTCGTAGAAGAGCAAGAGCCAGATTCTATGCGCAGACAGGCCTATATGACATGATTTCTGAGGCAAACGCTGCAAACTATTTAGCAATAAAGAAGGAGATTAGAGTGTTTGAGGGCTACAAGTGGACCATTTTGTGGACATGCTAAGCTCTTAGAGGCAGCGAGTCGAGGGGCAGTTCCTTCAGATGGACCAGCGTCAACATCACTCAGAAGTGGAAATCCAGAATATGTGAACAGCTTGGAGTATGAACTAGAACAAAGAGAAATACCACCTGGAAGATTTACAGGCAAGATCAATAGCTTGAACCGGCAGCATGAAGTGTACAGAGGACAATTTGCTCAAGCAGATGTCCTTGATGCTGAAAGAGCCCACTTTCAATAAGTGAATTCAAGGTAAACAGCCTCAAGGAACCTCGTTCCTTAGAGTGAATGTAGTGAGAAATTCGAGTAGATGTAGAAAAGAGGTAGAGTAGCGGTAGAATGAGCTAGCAGAATGCATAACAGCGCTCACTCCACCGAGAAGGAGTGTGTAGGATTTGCAGTATTTATCAGAGGCCGGTTCACCTTGCCGCAGCCCTTTGAGTATCAGGAAAAAGTTCACATATCCCAAAACTAATCTTCAGAAACTATTCGGAAGCTAGTGGCAACCTAAGTTAGGGCTGCAAACTTCAAACGCAAATGGATGTTCACATACAGAGCCAGCGCGTAATGTTTCTGAAACACATGGTGGCCGTTTCTAACTTTGTCGTGACACAGAAGCCACATGTCGCGCAACACATTGAATTTTAACAGCCAAGGACTCCTTCTAGCACACCAAACTCCTCCTGCAAATTGCCTTCGCGACTTTGCAGTTTGAGAAACTTCGAGACAAAGAAAATTCATTTCTTTTGTCAAAGAATGCAATGAACTTCACAAGGCAGAACTCCGGTTTCGTGAGCATCTGAGCATTAATGACAATCCGTTTGGGCTTTATACGCGGGCTGGCAAATGATTCATCCTCCTCAACAACACATTTTCAGCAGCCGTTTGCTGAGCAGCAAAAGTAAGGCATAAAGCGCATCCCTGCTTCATCCAGCAATGTGCAAACCACAGGGCCCTTGAGTGGCTTGATTAGTGCATTAGGTGGTCGCCGCGGTCACCTTCCTCGTTGCGCAGCGGCCTTGACGACATCTGTGTGACATATGGGATACGTTGCGAATCTTTGAGCGCGAGTCCTGTACCGGAAGCAAGTGTCATGTGTCACTGCATCTTGAAGAAGCTGAGCGTTGCCCACCGCGATTTCACATCAGCGCCCAAAGTGATTTTTTAATCATATTTGTTTCTGT